GGACACGCTGTTTGGAGAATAGAATAGAATAGGCTTTAGCATTCCGAAGAACCTACATAGGACACGCTGTTTGGAGAATAGAATAGAATAGGCTTTAGCATTCCGAAGAACCTACATAGGACACGCTGTTTGGAGAATAGAATAGAATAGGCTCCAGCATCCCTGAGAACCTACTTAGGACAAGCAGTTTGTAAAATTGAGAATATAATAGAATAGAATGGAATGGAATAGAATAGAATAGGCTTTAGCATTCCGAAAAACCTACATAGGACAAACAGTTTGGAAAATTGAGAATAGAATAGAATAGAATAGGATCCAGCATCCCTGAGAACCTACTTAGGACAATCAGTTTGTAAAATTGAGAATAGAATAGAATAGAATGGAATGGAATAGAATAGAATAGGCTTTAGCATTCCGAAGAACCTACATAGGACAAACAGTTCGGAAAATTGAGAATAGAATAGAACAGAACAGAACAGAATAGGCTGAAGCATCCCTGAGAGAACCTACATAAGACAAAAGGTTTGTAAAATGGAGAATATAATAGAATAGAATAGAATGGAATGGAATAGAATAGTATAGGCTTTAGCATTCCGAAGAACCTACATAGGACAAGCTGTTTGGAAAATAAGAGAAGAGAATAGGTTCCACCACCCCTGAGAACCTACATAGGACAAACAGTTCGGAAAATTGAGAATAGAATAGAACAGAACAGAACAGAACAGAATAGAATAGGCTGAAGCATCCCTGAGAGAACCTACATAAGACAAAAGGTTTGTAAACTGGAGAATAGAATAGAATAGAATAGAATAGAATAGGCTTCAGTATTCCTGAGAACCAACATAGGACAAGCAGTTTGGAAAATTGAGAATAGAATAGAATTAATATACTATAAAACTAAACTTTGTAAAAAAAAAAAAAGTATGTTGTGTGAGCCAGTGCAAAACTGACATGCAAAGTGTTTTAGCATGTTGTTATGCAGTTGCTAAGACAATCTGGGTGGTGGCCAGGGAGTTGCTAAGATGTGGTGCAAGGTTTTTAGCGTGTTATTTTGCAGTTGCTAGGGTGTTGCTAAGGTGTTCTGGTGGTTGCTATGTAGTTGATCATTAGCCCAATCAAAAGAGCCCACCTCCAAGTCTCTATGATATTCTGGTGTCTAGATATGACACAAGTGCATCATTTAGTGTAAGTCTATGGGAATTTTTTGGTCATTTGATTGGATAGAGAAGCAATAGCACACCTCTCCTCAGCATGCTACATGGTTAGAGGTATCATTCATGTCTTAATCACAAACTGTGTGGGATGAGTTACACATTGTAGTTTAGGAGAATGGGGTTAAAAACCTAACCCAAGTATAAGCAATAGTAATAGTAACTTAAACAGATGATGACAAAACAAACTTTTCTGATATGTTATTGCCTTTATTTCACCTTTTGAACATCATAGCCACAGACAAGTCCCACGTGTCTTCACAGCTGTATATTGATGTATGCCGTGTAAATTAAAACACTTGAGATTATGTTGCCAGGATGCATCTGTGGTAACTGAAGAGTGGTAGGTGTGAAATAAGCCTGAAAACATGATGTTAACACCAATTATAGCTGCAGGTTGAGCGTGATGCTCTTCAAGGAGAGGCCGCATTGTCTGACAAGTGGACCAACACAACAAAGGTCAGCACTCTGACCTTTCTACGGCATTATTTTTAGAAAGCACTCGCTGAAAGAAGGTTCTGTGCATATTTGACCTTGACCTATGCATGAAGGACAGAACTGACAGCCCGTCTGCATATGGGTTTTACATTATGTTTGCTGTTACAAATACTGAGACACACTGCTGTTCAAATGTTTGGGGTCGGTAGGATTTTTTGTTCTTAAATCTCCTGTGCTCACAAAAGCTGAAAAAAACACAATAAAATAGTAATATTGTGAAATATTATTACAGTTTAGCATAACTGTTTTCTATTTTAATATCTGTTCAAATGTAATTTATTCCTGTGATGCAAAGCTGTATTTTCAGCATCATTGCTCCAGTCTTCAGTGTCACGTGATCCTTCAGAAATCATTCTAATATGCTGATTTGCTGTTCAAGAAATATTTTTTTTTTCTAATGTTGAAAACAGTTTGCTGCTAAATATTTTTGTGGTAATTTTTCCACTACATTTAATGCATCTGTGCTGAATTAAAGTTTAAATTTCTTTCAAAAGAAAAAAAAAAAATCTTATCGACCCCAAAATTTTGAATGGTAGTACAAAAATATAAAATATACAGTGGTCCCAAAAAGTGTTTGGACACCTAAACCACATGTAAATGTAACTGCATTAACAAAATAGTATCTGCACAATTTATGCCACTAATGTGTCAATAATGAGTCCAAATACTTACTGGGTTACTGTATTATATTTGAAAAAATTTAAGGACACAAATTTTTATCTTAATATTATTTTATCAAGCATATTCATAAGTGTATAAGTTATAGTCCCTGGCATAACAGATGGTTGCTATGCAACAAAAATGCGTTTCATTGGCTTTGTACTGTACTCTGCACAATGACAATGACAATGAATGTGAATCTAATCTAATAATGATTCGTTATGGGTGCTGGTCAGTAAAAGAAATGTAAAATCAAGATTATTATACTGTACATTGTGGTACAATGAGAACTAAATATGTTAACTTACATGAAATATTGCATGTACATATTCATCTAATCATCCACATTATGAAGGTTATTTTAATGACTACGATTAAACAAAGGATATATAAAAAAAAGATGTAGCGTATAAACTGATTATCCAACAGCTCTGTTTTGGGAAGAAGAACATTCTGAGAGAAACAAAAAAAGTGTTATTTGGAGATATGGTGAGCACATTTAGTGTGATAGCCTAGTTTTTGTGTAAATAACACAGCTGGAACACTGCATTGAAGCCAGAAACAGACCTATGAGTTTCCCAAATCCATAAATCAGATATTTCTCAATTCTAATGAACAGATGACTTAAACGACTAATTTTAAGCCCTCAAGTAACATCACTGATGAGTGCTGTTAGTGAAATCAAAGCATAATGTTTTTTAAACCCTCGCCTGCAGACATGAATCCCATTATATTCCACAACAGCTATCGTGTAAATAAAAACGTCTTGAGCACAGCTGTCAAGACCTCTAGGCGTAATAACTCAACTAAAAACACACCATACCCTTAAAGACGACCGTCCCTAAAGGCGTTATAGGGAATTTTCTCATTAACATGAGAGAGAAAATTGATATCAGCTTTATCGACGCCGGGCTGATAATATCATCCTTGATTCTTTAACCTCTTTAGCGTGGAAATGTGCACTTCAGTGAAAAACAAAAACAAATATTCTTCTATTACGGGGGAAATTAGCAATATGTACAACAACAATGTAATAACTGGCCTGTCATCATCTGCTGTAAAGGTCAGTGTCCTACTACTGTAAACAATATAATGTGGTTTGTTTAGGCTAGAGACAACCGTGATTTTACCAAGCAGGGCTTTACCAGCATCCTTGTAGATCCTGGAACTACATTCATATCAGCTTAAATCTGTGTTTTGTGTGTATACTGTGCTTAGTGATTCAATACATAAGCTATTCTTATTAACCTAATTCAATTTGATTTTAAATGAAAAATACGTGGTTACATTCTGGGTTCGATTTAGGATCCCAATGATTGCTTAAACCTTATTTTTAAACCTTTCACCTTGTTAAAGTGTCATTTGATCTGTATAGGGTGTGAATTCTTTCCCGTGTGAGTGGAGGTAAAAACTGAGAACTGCGATATTAAAATTATTTTGCCTAAAGGGAAATCAACTGAAATTGAACTCAGCGATTTGAGTTGTTGAGGAAGTCTGGTGCTGCCATCCACAGGTTACATCATGTATTACAGCCTCTTTGATTGGGCCTTTTTGATTGTAATAAATCAAACGCCATTTTGCCTAATGATCACTTTTTTATAATTCTATATAAAAATCTAGTTTTTTACTAGAATTACATCACTTAGTCTAATGAAGTTAAGCTGAAAGCTGCACTACTATTCAAATGTTCTGTTGGAAAGTGTTTTTTTTTTTTTTAGTAAATCAGTAAAATATTAAACATTTAAAACGGCTGTTTTATATTGCATTATATTTTAAAATACAATCTATCCCCGTGACGGTAAAGCTGATGTTTCAGCATTTTCAGTGTCACATGATCCTTCAGAAATCATTCTAATATGATGATTTGCTGCTCAAGAAACATGTCTTATTTTTATCAATGTTGAAAACAGTTGCGCTGCTTAATATTTTTGTGGAAACTGTGATACATTTATTACTCTTTGATGAATAAAGAATGAAATATGAAATAGAATTATTTGTAACACGTCTTTACTGTCACTTTTGATCAACTTAATGCGTTCTTGTGTAATTAAAGTATTAATTACAGACCTGAAAATTTTCAGCAGTACTGTTTTACTATTTAAAAGGATTTTATTTTTTTTTTTAAATTAAAGTGCAATCCTTTTGTCTAACACTCAGATACAACAGTAATCATTCTATATATGTGACCCTGGAGCACAAAACCAGTCTTAAGTCGTTGGTGTATATTTGTAGCAATAGCCAAAAATACATTGTATGGGTCAAAATTATAGATTTTTCTTTTATGCCAAAAAAATCATAGGATATTAAGACCATGTTCCATGAAGATATTTTGCAAATTTCCTACTGTAAATATATTAAAACTTCATTTTTGATTCGTAAAATGCATTGCTAAGAACTTCATTTGGACAACTTTAAAGATGATTTTCTCAATATTTAGATTTTTTTGCACCCTCAGATTCCAGATTTTCAAATAGTTGTATCTCGGCCAAATATTGTCCTATCCTAACAAACCATACATCAATGGAAAGCTTATTTATTCAGCTTCCAGATTATGTATAAAAATTTCGAAAAATTGACCCTTATGACTGGTTTTGTGGTCCAGGGACACATATGTACTGGGGGGGAAAAAAATCAATCCATAAACGTCTAACCCGAAGTGAAAATGTTTAATAGGTTTTAAGAAAAAGACGCTACAAAGTATCACCTCTCATACCGTCACATACCAGTAGGTCCTTGGGTTCACATTTCAAACGCTTCATTTAACACCCGATAGATTATTTCACAGCAACACACAACATCTTCTAGTACAATGTTTTATTAGGCACAAGGCGGGAGGGAGTTGCGTTTACAGTATCATTATCCCAAATGCCCTCTCTCTGAGTGTTTGCATCTATGGCCCTGGCCTGGGATCAGTTTCAGATCGCCTCCAGTTCAAACATCAACATGACATCACCAGTGACATCATTTCTAAACATTCCATATTACAGACCTGAGCTCAGTTAACACCGGATTCTGGGACGAAACAGTGTTTGTTGGCAGAACAGGTTACATTTGGTTGGTGATGTCACGTTGCATTTCCCTTTTCATGATATCATTTACTGTGGTGTATCAGTTTCCGGAGTGCGACCTGCACTAATCTCCCAGCTCTCGTCACTGTAGTAACGGGTTCACGCAGTCGAAGTGGCCCAGGTTCTGGCAGGACTTGAGCCAGCGCTGTATGTTAGCTGCTGCAGAGGTGGTCTGGCCGGCCCGCAGGACGCAGCAGGCGCACACAATATCAGCGAGAGAGAACTCCTGACCCAGAAGCCACGGAGAACATCCCAGAGCCGAGTTTAGGGATCTCAGCACGGCCGCATGTTCTTTACTGCCCACCTCGGCCAGCTGGAAAACTGCCGTGTCTATCCAGCAGTCCATCTGCGTGGCGGCGAGCGGGTCCTGGGGTTCGGCACTCAAAAGACGGAAGAGAAAGCGGGCGACGTTGGCCTCCCCCTCGATCGGGCACATGCTCTGCGTGTTGAACTTCATCTGCAGCTTTGACACTGAAAGGAGACAGATGATACAACAATCAGCATGTCCAAATATCTGGAGGCAAATGTGAATACTCTAACTACATTCTTTATAACACTAATATAACTACAGTTCATGATTTCCTTCAGAAATCATTCTAATATACTGACTTATAATCAATTTTGGAAACCGTTGTGCTGCTTAATATTTTTGGGACCTGTAATACTTTATTTTTTTTTCAGGATTCTTTGATAAATACAAAGTTAAAAAGAACAGTGTTTATTCAAAATAGAAATTGTGTAACAATATACACTACTATTCAAAAGATTGGGGTCAGTAAATGTTTTTTTAAATTTTTTTTTAAGATATTAATACTTCTATTCAGCAAGGATGTGTTAAATGGATCAAATTGGATAGTAAAGACTTGTATTGTTAGAAAAGATTTCCATTTTGAATAAATGCTGTTCTTTGTAACTTTTCATTCATCAAAGAATCGAAGAAAAAAGTAGCACAGGTTCCAAAAAAAACATTAAGCAGCACAACCGTTTCAACACTGATAATAAATCAGCATATTAAGGTGATTTCTGAAGATCATGTGACACTGAAGATTGGAATAATGATGCTGAAAATTTAGCGCTGCATCACAGAAATAAATAATATTTTTAAAGTATATCAAAACAGGAAACCAATATTAGAAATTGCAATAATTTCACAATATTACTTTTTTTGTATTTTTTATCAAATAAATACAACCTTGATGAGCATAAGGGACTCCATTAAAAAACATGAAAAATCTTACTGATCCCAAACTTTTGAACGGCAGCGTGAGTGTGTGTGTGTATATATATATATATATATATATGTGTACGTATGTATGTATGTATGTATATATGTATATATATATTTTTTATTATTATCATTGTGCACAATTTATCAGTGCACAAAGTAAAAGCAATTTGTGTTGGTAATTGTTTGTCAAAATGTAATAATCTGCTCTGCCTTTAAATGAATGCACTCTTCTTTTCAGCTTTATTTTTTTTTTATGTTGACTGGTAGCCAAATAGTTTTCGGAGGAGTAGTCCACCACAATCAACAGGTCTGGCAGGTATAAACACCCACCATTCACAATCAAATCTAGTGCTGCCAAAAGCACCCGTACTTCTGGACCACATTGATACTGAAATTTAAAAAATGTAACACCACCAGTCTTCCTACAGTACCAGCAGCACAGAGAACAGACATTTGTGCAAGCGCTCTGTGAAGTGTCCAAGGATTCTCATTTACAATGCGTTGTTTTTTTTAGCATTATAGCATTAGTCAGAATCTGCTAAACACCAGTCAAAGAATACTGAAAAAAAGGTATCATGTTTCAACAGAAATATGAAGCATGATAAGTAGGGATGTAACGATTAACCGCGAGCCGGTTGAAAATCGATTAAAATATGTGACGATTCAAATTGGTTGAGATGCTAAACAAATCGCGATTCAATTAGGGGTAGGAGTTTATATGAATGTATGTCTGAGGGGAACTTACTGTCTTTAGAAAAGTGTAGATGGTATTTTTTCTTTTCATCTTGCCTCTCAGAGTGCAGCGCTTTACTTATTTATTTGATTTGGGGTTTGTTTTAAAATTTCAATTTAGTTTTATTTACATTATATTTAAATTTGGTCATTTAGCAAACGCTTTTATACAAAGTCGTGAGTTGAGTGGATCGTTACATCCCTAATGATAAGAAATGTGTCTTGAGCAGCAAATCAGCATATTAGAGTGATTTCTGAAGGATCATGTGACACTGAAGACTGGAGAAATGATGCTGAAAATTCAGCTTTGCAACACAGGAATAAATTTCAAATAAAACTATTGTGATTCCAAAAAACACAGTTTGCACTGTGCTCTTTTGTCACTTAACACTTTATTTTGGTGGGTCAATCTATTTAATTACTTAATATATGATCCACACTCGCAAAAAAAGTTTGATTTTACATTTATCACCAGCAGGAAAAAACACAAACGTTTCGGCTTCATTGCGTTGAATAATTCATTTTCATAAATGAGGAATTTGATTTTGTCCGTTTTCCTTTAATGAGACATAACTGGTCGAATCAATTTTAATATTTTGTGGAATGTATCTTGAGTATTTAAAAAGTGAAGATCAGTGATTATTTATGCTGACTTTAATCACTTTAATAACTGTCCATTGTTATGTATTTTGATATTTAATTTGGGTAGTTGATGTTGGTGATTGTGTATTTATTAAAAAATTTTTTTTAACTGTTTAACTTTTATAAATATGTGATCCTCTATGATTCATGTTATAGCCATAGTCATGTTTAATCATGTCTTATGTAATGTATTGGTAGATGTAAAAATTTGTGCTATATACGAATGGAAATTGACCAGCATTTGAATGGAATGTATGTGTGTGTTTAGAGACTTAACACTGGTTAATGATTTTTTAAATGTTTTAAAAAAAAAAAAATGGAATGTATGTGTGTGTTTAGAGACTTAACACTTTTTAAATGTTTTTAAAAAAAAAAAAGTGTGTGGAGGGATTTAATTATTCAATGAACTGAACCAAAAGGTTTGCGTTTTGTGCCGCTGGTTATAAATGTAAAATAAAATGCTAAAAGCAGACTATTGTGAGTGCGGATCATGGTTTCATATTAAATATAATAAAATATAAAACAGTTATTTTAAAATTTTACTTAATTTACTGTATTTTTGCTCAAACAAATGCAGCCTTGGTGAGCATCATTCAAAAACACAAAGCCAAACTTCTGAAAGTTAGTTTACTTTCTTTTGTGTTGCAATCACACCAATTTTGGTTTCCATGTCTCCAAATGTCTGATAGAAACCCAAGATTTCCCTACACAGTAATATGTAGGAAGTTGCCTTAGAAATTTTCCAAAAACTGGCAATTTTTAGTTAATCAGACCCCACTGCACACCAAAAACACCTTCAAATTCAGTTCCAGTCATTCTGAAGTGTTGCATTTCAAATGACACCTCCACAAAAGCTTTTCAAGCTACTCGTTTTGGCCTCTTTCCTAGTTGAGTCTTACACTAACATCCTCTAGAGGAGTGTTAAGCAGATCAGTTTCACTCTGCTCATACAAGAGAACCACGGTTCCTTGAATGCACAAGATACAGCGGCCCTCCAGGAAAACACATTCTGATAAACCCTAGTGCTGCTCTCTTTTTACCCTCTCACCATCTTTCCATATGAGAGTGAAGCCGAGCTGAAAGCGCTGACGGGCGTAGCTGTCTATGTGCCGTGGGCCCAGGCAGGACAGCAGCGGAGGGGGCACAACACTCACAGAGGAGTGCACATGCACACTGGAGAGCACCTGGTAGCGCTGGCACAGCAGAGCATGAAGAACCAGCAGGGACAGAGGAGGATGGGCAGGGTTGGCATTGATCACGATGTCTCTCAGCGCACCCAGGTCCTGGAGGACAACCAGGAACAATTCAGCAAGATTTAACCGTGAACACATCGAGCTGTTTACCAGATGAACGAGCAAACATTGAAACTTGCGACGTTGATTCAACATCCCACCCCTCCTGTGACCCATGGTTTGTCTGTATGTGATAAGAGCAACAGACTTTCAAAATAATAAATAATAATAATAAAAACTCCGTTAATGCGCGATAAAATAATTGTCGGCGTTAATTAATTAATGCGTTAACGTGATAAAAACGCGTTAACTTGCCCAGCCCTAGTATTTTAATGAAATAAGCATACAGTCTGTTGCACTGCGTGTTTCAATGGGACGTGTGTGTTCATTTACACATGAGCAGCTCGTGATTCAGTATTTTCAGCATCTTGGATCATATTAAATGCAGCACTCAATCTTTGCATGTGTTGCAAGTTTAACATGCATTTGAAAGACAGTGTATGTCAAGTCATGCTTTTTCACATTTGCATAATTTCCAACATTTTTGTGGACAGATGATTACAGTATTCATCAGATTTGGAATGAGAAGCATTTGTAAACCTGTTGTCACACAAACTTAACACTAGAACTACCGGAATTCTATAACTACTAGAATGGCCATAGCGGTCATTCTGACCGTTCATACTAGCCTGAACTGAATGCCATTTTTGTCATATCATATTTACATTCGAAGCTTCTTTTGAGGTTTTACAATGAAGCTTTGAATGTCTGTCATCATATTTTATGACGTAATTTTTTGTAATATTTAATTATAAGAGCTACGTTGACCGCTCCCGAATGTGCGTGCCTCGCTTCGTGTCCGGCAAGCGGAAAAGCAAAAGAGCAGTGAAAATGTGGTATTTGAAAATCTAAATGCCAACAAATATGAACTGAAGCAGAATATTTCTGTAGATAAAACATTTTGTGAATTTTGGAAGTGATTACATACATCTTTTATC